TGCTTTTTTCGATGATATTTTTATTATTTCAATTAAACTTTCATAATCGAAATGATTGTACATTAACAAATCAATTAATCAAAAAAACAATTTAACAATCTTTGTTATACTATAATCATTTATGGATAATGTTTTTCTTTGTTTTTAAATTACAATCAAAGCAAAAAAATATGTATATTTATTCAATTAATGTCGTTTTTGTCAAGTAATTTGTATTTGTAATCACTTGTCAGTTTTTTGTTTAAAACGTTTTATATTGTTATGTTAATTGTGTTGATTGTTTTCCATTTAGAAAAATAATCTAGCAGTGTATCAACTCATAAAAAATATGATTAAAATATTTTTTGTTGATTTTTAAAGGTGGAAATAGTGTCAATTTCAAACAAATGTTGAGACGTATAATTTACATTTTATGTTGTTGTGTGTAAACTCAAATGAAAAGAAAATCAATTATTTTTTGATTTGTGGAACATGTTTATAAAAAAACACAACAAGTCGAAAATAGCTTTTGATTACCTTTCATTTTTATCAAAAAAATAAATATGCATAGTTTGTTTAATAGCTATATAACTATTAAATTATAGCATTTTCCAATTATTTTATTAATTTTTATAGTTGTTTTTTGATTCAGATTTATTAAAAATTATAATTTAATTTTTGAGAAAGTGTAAAGTTTGCCAAACTTTGCACTTCCTCAAATATTTGGCAAAACGCTATAAAGCAAAAATGTTGTTTAAAAATATATAATAGATTTGTTATTATCATATGTGTTTTTTTTGGTTTATATACAATTATTAAATTATAAAAATAATAGTTTGGCAATAGTTTAAGATAAAAAGAGGGTTAAGTGTTATGTATTTAAACCAAACGATAAATGAAACAATCAAAGCATGGTTCCACAGGGTTTTACTTGTATTAATTCCCTTCTAAGACCGTGCGACAATGTATTTGTAGATGGACCTAGCTTGTGATCTTTATTGCATGTGGTATATTGGGGCAACTTGATATGCTATCCATCTCCAAATGTTAATTTAATTAATCACTTTTGAATACTATAAAATGTCAACTTGATAAATACTTTCCACGCTAAAATTGTGAATTTTCGAAAATTGTAACATTATTGTTAATTGTTTTTTTTGAATAATTAACTAAAAAATAATAATAACTATTCTAGACGTATTATAATAATAATAAAACAATAATATTTTTTTATTTCAAAAAAAATATTTTAAGCAGTTATGTGAGATGTCATAATGAAAATAAATCAATTATAAACAAATATCAATTTAAACAAAATTCTATGATATTATCCAATCTACAGTTAATAAACCGCTTTCGTCTTTTTAACCGATTGTTTTTGGTTTTATAGATCCAAATTATTATAATATAATTAAACTTATGGTACTATTTACCATGATTACTGGAAATGCCTGTGGAGACTTATTCTGTCAGAGGCGGTAATATGTATTATACTTTCTCTTATATCGTTATTATTTTGAATAAATATAACAAGACAAAGTGGTTATATAGACGTAAGTGGTTTTTTCTCATTGTACAAATGTGTACATAAAACTTAACATACCGTTTCAATTAAATTAAGTTTATTATTATCTTTATGAACCAAATCAAGCAATTTTTACTTCAATGAGATTATCAAAAACACTTTCCCATACTTTTTTCTTTGCTGGTTTAGCAAATGTGTCATTTTTGTCATTAATTCCAGCAAACACCACTTTTGTCAACGATTCGACATTTTTAAACCCACACATCAACAATAACATTTGTACCAAATGTCATTGTTTTTAAATTGAATTTTTTTTTTCATTAAAAACGTTAATTAATTTTGTGTTTTTAATTAATTTTTAAATATAATATATATATACATAAAATATTATATTATATTTATATATTACAATCTTCATATATTATGAAAGGATTCCTTGACTTTGGTTTAAATGGACTTTGGTCTAAATGGATTTTGGTTCAAATTTCCAAGTTAAAAATAAGAAAAAAAAGAAAAAATATTTTATGTTTCAAAACTGCATTTTAATATAAATAAATTACACTTTAAATTAATTTCATATATATTTATTGTCTTAACTTAAATTTTTAAATTATTATCATTTTGTAATTAATATCCATTATACAACAACATTTATTATTTTAATAACAACTTATCTTGTTTTGATACTTAATTGTAAATTAATGGAAATATATGTTTAAATTACAAATTATAACATCGTATTTATAACAGTGAAAATAATTAAATCATACTCAAATATCTAACACTCTTACCATTTTTATTAACAGATATAATAAATATTTTATTTATTTAAAAGTGTTTGTATGTTTATTTTGTATTATTTGTGTAATTATATTTGTATAATATAATCAAAACACACAATTTAACACACTTTAGATTTAGTTTAATTTTAAATAATAATAGTAAATAATAAATAAACAATAGTTTGAAAAAAACACAATTATTATTATTTTAAAAACAAAATGAAACTTTGTAATTAAATAAAGATAAGAATAATAATTATTTTCCTCGTGCTTGTTTTAATTTTTCAAAAATACGATGATTATAAGGTTTTTTTCTTTTATTATTGCCAACCTTTTGTAATTTGTTTTCTTCAATCAACTTTCTGGGTTTTTTTTCTTCAATAATTTTTTTTGATAACTTTGATTTACGTTTTTCAAAACTTTTTAATTCACATACCATATCTGTCACTTTCTCTTCTTGTTCTTTTTCTCGGAATAATTGGGTTTTGGAAACTTGTGTTTGTATTTCACGAGTGTGCTTTGAGATTGAACCTGATTCATTGCATTTAAGGTGAGAACACATTTCGTTGATTTCTTGGATAGAAGAAAAATCACTTTCTGTTGCCAAATTTAATGGTACAACACCGAATCATGTAGTTCTGAACCTTCTTCATCAAACACACACTGTTCTTGTTCTTCAATTAATGCCTCAATTTCCAATTTCATCTTCTTAGAACGAGTAATCGTATTAAATGAATTGTTTGCCCGTGCGCACTTGATTTGGAGATTGTACTTAATGTACAGAATTGATATCGCATCCAAATATCTCAACGGGTTTTCAAACAATCCTTTATTATAGTTTTCCATGGCAACACTAATGTTTGACTGCAATTCTTTCATGTTGGTTTTATATCTTTTAAACACAGTTCCTATATTAAGTTCCCCCCATTCTTTTTTTGTTTTGTTTTCAATTTTTCTTAAAAAGTCGATTAAAACGAACAATTTTGGATGCGCGACAGTAATAAGATAACCAACTCCACTATGAAAACCTTCAGAGAAATTATTAGTACGGTTTTGTTCACAAAACTGACACCAGTTCGAACAATCAATTTTTTCCAACCAAAATCTCTTGTAATAAATAAGCAATTCTTGAAATTTGGTTTTGATGTTTTCTGGTACACCATACTGTTCAGATAATGACATTTCTTCAAAGTATTTTTCAAATGTACTGTTAATTTCACTTTGTGGTAAAAATGGTATTGAAAACAATCGTCGCACCCATGTGTGAAGAACGGAATTGATTTGGTATTGTGTTGATAAACCAACCTTGCCGAGCATTCTGTACACCGCCTGATTGAGGTGAAACAAACAAATTTTGATTTCGCATTTGAAAACCGACCGAAATGCAGACATTGCAGCAATTTGACAATCGGTATGGGCAACTAAAAGAGAAGGAAAAAACGTGGAAATTTTTGAAAATGCAAATGTAAACGTATCTGTTTTTTCATTTGGTAAAAGAAAAAACACAACAGGAAACACATGATCTTCAACAAGTGAATGTATAGTATATACACAATTAACATCACTTGGAGTAATCCGGTATGTTCCATCTGCGAAAATTTCTTTTGAATGAAAAGCAATGTGCTGTTGATGTGCAGAAGAAAAGATAATGATACGGGGCATGTTTGGGTCTTCGTCAATTGAATCATAATAAAGGAAATTGTTGTTTTCGTTCACTTCAGATTTCGGTTCAATTGTAAGTTTCAAACAATCAGAAATTTTAGCATTTTGATATATTTCATTTCCCGAACCCAAAAGTCGATCTTGTAGTCTAGAAGCAAATTTTGTACATGCTTCAATTTCCTTTTTAGATGCTTGATCGCAGTCTGGTTGTAAAATAATTTTGTTGACGAGAATTCTAGGATTTTGCGTTTTTTCCAAATTCAATTCTCTTGTTAATATTTCCCTCCTACATCTTGCTCGAAACAACTTTTCGTGATCAAGTGCACATGTGTGAACTCCTTCTACAGTAGACTTCTTTGTTGTATTGTCTATTTTGACTAAAACGTGACACCCGTCTCCACTACACTGATAAACAAGTGTTCCATCTTTTGATGTTCTACTGAAAGCATAACATTTTCGCCCTAACGACAGAAGTTGGTGAACTTGTTCGTTTCTTCTTGGCTTGTTTGTATTATCGAAAAAGCGGTATGTTTCTTCTTCCATTTAATTATTAAAATTTTAAAAGTTGGTGATTAAATAATCTAAAATTATAGAATTCGTTTAACCTAAATTATAAATACAAATATAAGTTTTTAAAATTGTTTTATATAATTTTTTGTAAATTTAATTAATTTTGTAAATATTTTCGAGAAAAAAATTATTTTATTTTTTGAAGCAGTTTTGGGATATAAAAATTTTTTATTGTTTCAAATTATTTTCCAATCAAGAATTTGAACCAATGTCTATTTGAACCAAAGTCTATTTGGACCAAAGTCCAGATTCCTTATGAAAGATTTTTATATAAGACAATATTTAATTTTAAAAATAAAAACAAAATCATAATAAAGTTGTAAAATTTTTTTGTATTAAAGTAAGATAGCACAGAACTCTTCCACAATAACGTATCCGTCACCATTGGCATCAACTTTTAATGACTTGTTTAACAACTTGTTCACATCCAACCTTCTTCAAGAAAACAGCTACTTCATTTTTATCAAACTTTCCAATTTTATCGGCGTTCATTAACATGTAAAAAACTTTAAGACCAACTTTGGAATCAGCCAGATCAATACAAATAATAGCTGGATAAAACTCGGTAAACTTTGGAAGGTCAATAATTCCGTCGTTGTCAACATCAACAGCCTTTATTATCAACTGAACAAGTTTCTCGTTCTTGATTTCCTTCTTAACAACAATTACAGCTTCAACTTCTTCCTATTGGAGTTTACCGTTGTTGTTAGTATCGATAGCCTTGAATGCAGCTTCAGTAAATGAGATGATTGAACAGAAACAAAAGTGATAACTTTTAAAAATTGATTGTATTTTAATTTTGTAAAAAAATAAAAATTCGGGTTATAAAATAAATATGTGGAGAACAAATAAATTAATAAACATTCTGTACTATGAGTAAAATTTTCAATTTTTTGATTATGATAAATCTTGTTTTATTTTTTTGATAATTTTTAATTAAATATTGAAATAAATAACGAAAAGTAGTTTTGAAAACAAAAATAGTGAATTAGGGTTTGTCTTAAACTTCCATACAATTACCTTCGTTATCAACTTAATAAATTTATTGATTTAAATATTGCAAATGAATCCATTTCAACAACTTTTTATCATATTATTTATACAACTTGTTTCTTCGAATTGTGTGATTGAATACGACCAAGTAAGCAACTGCGTATACACTTCATCTCCACTTGAGTGTAGTGGGGACATCACAATTCCTTCTCATTGCCATTGTGTCAAGGAGAAGGGTTTCCAAAAATCGAAAATTTCAACAATCACATTTTTATCAACAGATCCGGTGGAAGTCAACAAGTATGCCTTTGACACGAGTGACTTGACCAAATTTGTATCGACAAAAATATCAATTATTGGTGAATATGCTTTTCAAAAGTGCTATTTTTTAAGTGAAATTTCGAACATAAAAACAGTCACTTCCATTGGACAATATGCCTTTTTGAAGTGCTTTTTACTCACAAAGTTTGAGTTTTCGGATGACTTGCATGATGTTGGCAACTACGCGTTTGCTGGTGCTGCGCTCAAGAAGGCGAAGTTATCAAAACTTACTACGTATGGATACAGTGTCTTTAAAGACAATATATTTCTGGAAGAGGTGGATATGAATGGCATACGAACACTTCCAGACTCCATCTTTTCTGGTGATTT